TTTAGGTAAGACCGTATTCAAAAGTTGTGTGATACCTTCTTCCTCAGGTGGTAATTTTTTAATAGGCGCAAAGTTATCAAATGCAGCACTGCATCTGGATTGTATTTTCAGTATTAAATGAAGTTGTATACATTTTAATTTCACGGCGATGAATAAAACGTAATCATTCCACAAATGTTAAAATTAAGTCATTTGCTTATTTCCACTGATTTAATTTGTAAAATTTGAGATTAGTCGCTTACATCCATGGACTCGAAGTACCCTCCTAATCCGGCCATTGTCATATGATCCACAAAATATATAAATCAGATTGTGAAATTAGTACTGGTATCAGTTGTAAGTATTCATAACAGTTATAACTAAAATATCTTTATCAATTTGTAATAAAATTTATAACAAATTATAATTACCCGCCCCAGTAAACAAAAAAAAATGCTATCATCACCGTAAATAATGGACTTTCATAACCAGTCATTCAATTTTAAATTTTAGATCCTATATCCAATAAAGTGAATCGTATAATTCATATTATGGTAAATATTTAACCAATAGAATATTTACTGTATTATTTAATATAAAAATATCAATTAAACTTTGATTGAAATTAGCAAACATTTTACTCTGCGGGTAATTAAAATATCGAAACGACTTCCACTAAAATCATACTATATGTATAACCAAGACGCAAAATTTAATTTAAATTTGCAGGATTAATAATTTTTTTGTATGATTTACGCTCAAAAGCATATCATATATTAAGTTTCTGGAATATAAAATATATATATATAATGAATTAGTGCAGAAATTTAAAAAAGGGTATTTCAATGGAGGAAGAATCTATCCCCTATTCTGGTTCTATTTAAACGTCACTGTTTCGCGGTATACAAATTGAAAAATATTTTTGAAAATTATGGTAAAATTCCGGGAAAGATTAGTCATGTTGAAAAAGTAATTAGTATATTATAAATATTTTAAAATATATATAAAAGTTATTTAATTTCTATTACCTGATTATGGTATGTATTTATCTTGAAGTAGCAACCTAATAGCCACCGATAGACCATACAGTAATCCTTTCAAAATAAATACAAATATCAGATAAAATAAATTTCAGCTTATCACCATTCAAATTAAGCTTTTTGTTGACTTTTAACTTAAATCACAGGTGTGAAATCTGATCTTCAATTCTCTTGAACATTGTGTTGCATACAACTGTGGTGACCATTGTACATCAGTTATACACTTTGTTATTGGAGTTTCGATCATGGTAGTTTGCATTGACTAAAAATGGATGTTCAAATTATCATAACGATCTCAAAAAATGGTATGCAGTAAATAAATATAAAAAAAACTGTTTCAATAATATTTGACATTGTGTTAAATTAAAATAATGTGTTTATTTTAACACATTGAGTTTAATATCTTTGAGTTTAATATTTTTAATATTTTTTAGTTTTTCAAATTAATAATATTTTTAATATAGTTTTAATTTTGTTTATTTTAAGACAATAAAATTCATTATTTGTTATTAATTATGATATTAGCATTTAAAACCATTTAGCTTTTTAAAACCATCATGAATTATTTGTATGTATTTTAATTGTTCAATGTATAATGTATTCACACTTCGGTTATGACACTTAGGTGGGTAAACCGAATCAAAACAATTCGGTATGAGGTGCGCATAATGGACCAACAGGTTAGTGCATGGGTATTATGTCCACCTCGATAATAACTAAAATTAAAACTAATATTTGTTCAACTATAAATAAATATTTGTATCAACAATGAAAGATTATTATGAAAAAAGTTTTATGTCTAACCTCAGAAGTTTTAAATAAAATTTAACTGAGTAATTTTTATTTGTTAAAAATGTAAACGAAAGAAGTATTTAAGAATAAATTATTTAGTAAAATTATGTATTTGTATTGGCTCACTCACTCTTTGGATGGAGAATTTTTTAGATTATTTCAGCTTATCATATTGAAACTCTAAGTCCACATAGTGTAATGATTATAGTATTGCATATATAATTTGCCTTGCGAAAGTATTATCCTAAAAGCTGTAGGACGTGTTGAACACGTAATATAGCAGGTCCAATTATAATATTTACGACGAGGTTGTATAATACATTAATTTTTATTGAAATAAAAATGTTAATAGAGTTAAATAGAATTAAATGATTAAGGTATTGACAACCAAAAAATTAGTAGATTATTAAAAATACAAAAATGATAAAGAAATAAATAAATAAATAAAACGTATTATTTAAATTAGTATTGCACAACGTTCAATGTGTTATTAGAAAAAAAATTTTATGAATAAACCTGGTGAATTATTTGTAAATGAGGTTAGTGTTTTTAACGAAATAAACAAATATAGATATGAGGTTCGATATTCTATAAATTAACATATTTTCATTCACCAAAAATATTAATTTTTTTTTTAAAGCTCAGAAAAAATTATGAAATAAAAAAAGACTTGCTAGTAAAAGTGTCAGACAAACGTTTTTTGATTATTCGATCTTCGTATTAATTTTTATAAAACAGATGTAAATATTTATTTATTTTTATTTTTTATTTAAGATTATTTAATGAACACTCAATTTGAACGTTGATAAATTTATTTGCAACATTTTTAAAATATTAAATTTAATTAATGTATTCCATAATAAATTGATTTAAGTAAAATTAATAATTAATTAATTTAATTAAAAGTGTAATAAAAAAGCTATTTACTTTCACAATATAGACTTTTTATATAAATAATTCGGGAACATTGTTAACATGATCGGCGCTAACACGTACTGACATAACTATTAAATAATACTCCCTTATATTAATCTTAGTAACCTTATCACCTAGTCACCTTATCACTTAGTGATGTTTTATCTAGCAAAATTTGACATTCGGCTAGAATCTAGCCGAATATCAAATTTTGCTAGTTTACACGAGTTTAATAATACATATTTCAGTAAACTAAAATCCCAATTAATTAAACAGTTCTTATTTTTAATGTTTCCTAAGTGTTCTTTAAAACTGACCCCTATTTTTCATTTTGTTTGACCTACGTAATTTTTATCACAACTTTCACATTGTGTTTTATAAATATCAGATTTTCCTCTTTATTCTAGTTTATCTCAGAGGATACCTAATAATTCTCTTAAATATACTTTTACAACGTCGAAATTACGCGATTGTTATTCGATAAAGTGATATGGTAATATTTTATTAACAAGAATATTCTTTGCCTATTCTAGCGCCTTAATACAATCACAAGTGATCTATTCGTCAAATGTGACCCAATTATATCTTATTACATATATTACCATTAAAAATGAAAAACCTTCTTCTCATTTCTGTTTTTAACACAATATCAAAAAAATATGTATCGCTGAAATCTAATAATTCTATTTTTTCAATAAAATTAAAATTAATACTATACTACTTTCAGAAATCCGAAATTTAAATTGGTGATAATACAGTCAAATATCTATTTACGTATAAATAGTTTTCGTCCATATTGATAGAAAAAATAAATATGAAATAGAACAGTATTATCAAAATAACCCATCACCCATAATGTTTATGTTTACAGTACTATTTTACACTTGTATTTTGGGAGATAAATTATTTATTAAGTAAAATATATAAAACGGCTAATATAGGATAAATATTTTTACATTATAAAATTCTTCTGTTTAATTTTTGCTAGACGGTTTTTACGCGGTAGTTTTTTACCATGAGATAACATCCTAACGACAACTAGGTAGTCCATACAAAATAAATAAAATATCGGTTTATCGCAATTTGAATTGGTTTAATTGAGGATTCTAATAGTATAATTATCTGGAATATAATATTGCATCCAACTAATGATGAACTTAATCATGCAGTAGATTGTTGGAGCTACGATTATAGTAGTTTGCGTGTGACTTAAATGAAAATAAAACGATTGTTTAAAAAATCATAACGATTTCAAATAATGGTATACAGCAGATAAATAATAAAATAAGTAATAACTTTGTTTCTATAAAATTTGACATTTTATTAAACTATACTTTGATTAGTTATAGAAATAAAATATTATTTCTTTATAATATATTGTCCAGATAACACTATAATGGTAATAATTGCTTGAAGTACTTCTTTAACAGTAAAATATGCAGACTTATGGATTGGATGTCAAATCATAATACTTTATAATTTTATTTATTTTTCCGTGGCGCATGTTACATGAATACTAGTCTATGATATGTATGTATGTTGATTTTGAATTTAAATGTATTTATTTCAAACAATAACACAAATTGTAATCGATAAACGTTTAAGTAAACGATAGCCAGGAAATTATTATGTGGATAATTAATTCGTGATATCAACAATTTTGAAAAATTAACGAATGAGGAGTATCCAAGAGAAACATTAGAAAACATCTCATGCAACGAATGACTAGTAGATTGAATTAGTGAGAAACAGGTATGGGAGGCTATAGTATCAATGAAAATGAATAAATCAGTAGGCCCAGATGAAGTGCCAGTAGAAGTATGGAAAATATTAGGCGGTGTTGGCATAGGGTGATTGAACGATTTTTTTATTTATAAATCTTATTAGGAAGGAAAATGCCAAAAGAATGGAGGAATGGTATTGTGGTGCCGATATTTAAAGGCAAAAGTAGTAGAAAATAGTTTGGAAATTATAGAGGTATAAAGCTTATGAGTCGTAGTATGAATATTTGGGAAAAGGTAATAAATAAGAGAATAAGAAATAAGACATACCCTTTTCATATCAAGAAACAGGGTACGTATTTGCCTCTTTTAAAAAAACGAACTATCAAATTATCTAGCTAACTGTAAAAAAATAGAGTTATTGCGAAATACAACGATTATCTGTTATACATATATAAATAGTAATGTTTTATCAACTAATAACAAAATGAAATTGGTTAAAACATCAAGTTTTTTGAACAAAACACTATTATAAATAAATATTATTACAAAATGGATATTGTTAGTTATTTTATTATAAAAAATGATACTATAAAAATAAATTTCACAAATAATATATTGTAATCGTGATATTGTAATCTGTAGATAATGTTACTATTTAACAGTCCAATGATCTTCGCTTTTCTTTTGTAAATTTCGAAGTTTTTTATTATAGTAGACGTACCACATTGTTCCTAAAACTAAACAAATTGCAATTTCTAGATAATAACCATCTAAAAAGATTGTACAGCTTTGCCCATCTAATTTACACTCCTGTAAATAAAACAAACCATAAATAACTTATTTCAATTTAAAATGTTTAATTTTAGAATTATTATTATATTATAATCGTATATTGTTAAAATATAGTATAAATATAGTATAAATATATAAAAAATATATATCTATTTATTTTAATTTCTACATTTTTTATTACGTTGGAGTAACATATTAACTGTGTAATCATAGTACTCGATAGACATAAGAACAACAGAAATTATCATCGTATATTTATAATTGTTGAATATATTTTTTTTATTTGTCATCAATGGTTACCACGAAACTTCAAAAGATACGTAAAATAAAAAATTGTTATAAAAATTTTATTTAAAAGCTGTAAATACAGAAAATTCCGCCTGCCTACCTCACGAAAACCTTTAGAAGTATAAAACATATTAAAATTTTTTCTTGAATGAACAAAACAGGTGGGTAAGTTGGAAAAAAATTCTTTTAGTTGCTATTTAATCTAAACATATCGAGGACTTAATTTATTTGAACATTCCTATGAATTCATGCAATATTATCTCGAATATCAATTTAAGATAAAATGAGGTTATTTTTATTGTTCTTTTCTCATCCATAAAAATGCATTTATAATACTACTAAGTTACTATAATTATTTAGACTTTATAGTTATTTGAGTAAAAAATCTTTCAAAATAATTGCAAGTAATTTCAAAATATTTTGAAATAAAACTTTAGAATTTAAAACATTTTTTTTTTACCTCTATATGGTTATTAGAAGAGCAGTTATTTTTCAAATTACTTGTACAAGATTTAAATGTTAACCATTCAACCACACTTAATGATAATGTTGTAGTCCAAGACGTACCCAAATTTGATACCGTATTTAGAAGAGTCATATATGTGCCTCCAATTAAAGGATCACTTATCCTAGAGAAAAACGCCAACATTGCAACAAGCATAAAGTATACCACTACCTGAAAATATAATGCAATGTTCTGTAATAATCAATTTGCAATAAGTTTAAGATTCTCGTGTTTATATTTGATATTCCACAATCGATTAAAATTTTAATGAGTAAATTCATTAAAAATAAAATAAAATAATCACCTCAAAAACAAACACAAATATGCCCAAGTAAACATAGTATTCAAAAGGTATTATTATTTCACCATTACCTCCTTTTTTTATTAATATTGGAGTGTAATAAACCAATAAAGCAGCGACAAATCCAAGAAGTAGCCTAAATGAATAGTAATTATTAATTTTATGTGTATATAAAATTTCATGAATGAAATAAACAGATTTCAATTAAATTTTATGTGATATTAAACCCATTTTCCGGAAACAAATATTTTGATCACATTTAATATTAAACATTAAACTCCAAAAAATATTTACAAACAATTTAAATTTATTATCAAAATATTATTTAAAGTTTTTTTAGTTAAATTTCAAGACTATTTTTGAGCATTGTATTCGTCTTTAAAATAAAACATACATTAATATTTACAATATTGTTAAAATCTTAACATGTTTGGATAAATTTTTTTTATAATTTTCTGTTGAGCGTTTAAATTAGGTACAGTGTTTTAGTTAACTAAAAGGTACTATTGTACCTTAACTTAACCTGAAAGGGAAAACATTCAAAAGTGCACTCATCGGTTTTGGGCCCGAAGTAAACTTGGACACAACTAATGGAATAATAACTTTTACTGGATAGAGTGCAGTAATTACGATCAATAAATCGTCTTTTGGTAATCCAGCGCTCATTAGCTTCAAATTAGTTACATTTGCCGTGGCGACAAACCCAATCTAAAATATATACATTTTAATTAGTGAACATTATTGAACACTTTCTTCAAATATATACATTTTTGTAAAACTTAATAAATATGATTATTTTAAATACAAATTTAATATAAATAATAGTCGTGATTAGTTTTCTAAAAATAAAATTAATATTTGGTTATAAAAATAAATGTCACAATAATTAAATTTAATTTTAAATCGGAAATTCAATTTGAATTTTGAATGCGAGTGAACGCAGTACAAAAACAAATAAATGATCTCACCTTGTACGTTAGTAAAGCTAAAGCCAATGTACGGACACCTGATATTTTCATGATATCCCACAACATAACATATGTCTGCAGTACATTAAATTTTTCCCCGTCAATTTTTCCATCGACACTTTTTGAAGGTAACTTTTTGTTCTCTTTTTTTAATATACCAACCAGTGATGTTACAACAATAAATGCGATTCCCCAAAAATAAAAGAAACCTAAACGAAAAGAACAAAGTTCAGTATTGAGATTTAAAAAAAAACGTTTAAGATAATGTTTGACTCGAATATGATTAAGTTAAATTGTTATTCTGATTGACTGTTAAATTTTACAGGTCCATTGAACACTATAATTAATTACAAATAAAACATTTATAAACATTATGGTCAAAAAGGTCTGTAACGATACAAATCAGATTTTTACTTTTCATGGACACAACACCTCCCTTTGAGGGTGTACTTCGCAAAAAATTGTTACAAAACCTCTCAGAGTCTAGAAGTATTGGCACAATGTAACCCAAAAATACTCCAATCGCTTGTCCGGTTGAATTGCACATTGACGCGTATCCCACGTTTTCTCTGAAAAATGTTTTTAATAATAATGTGTAAACACTAAAACAATTTTCACTATGCAAATAAGTTAATTTACTTCTTAAGTAAAGATAAAGCCCATCCGTCAACAGCAATATCTTGAGTCGCCGCCAAGAAATTTAAAACTACAAAGATAAACGCCAACATGTTCACTTGAGGTTTGTTTTCTTTGTACATCCAATTATCTAAATTGAATGATGAATAAAGAAGAAGTATACCTATACAAAATTCAATTACTATTTAATAGAAAAACTTTAATTTTACTGAATTTTTTACTTATATAAATAAAATATTATTTAAAATCAATAGAAATGTTATATTATGATCAGGGCTCGGAACTTAAAGAATATGTAAATTTTATTTTAGTCATTCTCCGAGTACATCAATAATATTTTAAGAATTTAGTAGTGGGGGTCTACAATCCCTGAAACAAAAAATGTTCCCGTGATATTGTATGTATCTATAATAAATTCTTCTGAGTCGAGTGTCGCGGAAATGGCCCCAAAAAATTCTTACAGTGCTTCGTGTTCCAAGCCGCGATTATGGTTGTATAATAAATAATATAAAAATAAAAAAAATATTTCTCTAGATTTTCACATGACATGAGTATCTTTTTAAATATATATATTTACAATTTTTACATACCTAGTAAATATTGAACTGGCAAAAGCCATGATTTTCTTCGGCCGATTTTAGTGATGAATAAAGAATCGACAATAGGAGCCCACAAAAGTTTTAAACTGAATGGCCAATGTGAAATACTAAATACTGCCTAAAATAATTAAAGTAAAAATAAGAATAATCTAATGCACATTTTTATTTGACGTTCTACTGAAATAAGTAGTCATTAATAACAAAAAATAATAGATTTATAGGTTATTTTAAAGATATTTTCATTATGTAGTTACATACATTTATAAAAAAAAAAATACCTTACCTGGTCGTGGTATGACACATTTTTTTGATTCTGCAATATTAATGGTATTGCATCGGAAAAACCTAGAGGTATACCTTGAAACATATACAACAACAAAAGTAAATTTATATTCATCCAGTCTCCTTTTAAATTTGGTTTGGCCGGATATGGACTATTGGACTCCAAAGCATCAGGTTTTTCTTCGTCTTTTTCAGACATTTCCAATTTTAGATAAAAGAAGAAAGTTAATAGTGGCAAATCACCAATAAGACCGTTTCAATGATCATCAATTTGAACGTTTCATAAGTACGACGACTATAATTTGTAAAGTTAAAAAAATTGTAAATTAAAAAAAAACATTTTATGCAATACAATAGCCAAATAAATATATTTAATTATCAAATCATATTTAATTGTATAGTATTTATTAATTGTATCTAATTAATTATTGCACTGAGATATACATCAATAAGACAATTTCTAGAATATTACATTCATACGAAAATACAACGTACCGTTACCATCAATTAAACATTGTTTTATTTCTTATTAATGTCCATCAAACTATAGCTATTAATTGGACGGTAAATGTATCCCTTTGTTCCTCCTCCCAATTTATGAAACGTAACCTATCCATGTCTTAAAAAATAGCTTTAATTGTTTAAGCAATTTCGTTTTAATTTCACAAAATTAATAATATCGAGAAACGGAGCCTTTATTTTCAAAACGATCATAGTAAAAATGGAGTGATCAATTTATGATGCCAGTCCATAGCCCACCCAGCTGGCCATAAAAATTATTACCCAGTCATTCACAAATTTTAATGTGTAAATTTTTATATTTCGATTTTCGTAACTCCTATTGTCATTATAACATCATTAGTGATTGTGTTCAGATTACAATGCAGTTTTATTTAATTGCTTATTTTGGAAAATAAAATGTGTTGACACATTTTGAAAAAAAAAACAATAGACAACAACAAGAATTTATGGTAAATATTACAAATTTATTATTTTAATTTATGTTTTAATTATCCGTGTGCATTGTTGTAGCCAATGTTGCGTTTGAAGGCGCTGGTAACTGAAGTACTTATGACGTCAAGACCACTGCCGGACACGTTTAACTGTTGAAGTTATTTAACCCGTCAAGACGTTACACGAATTTTTTTTATTGATAAATACTCTAATTATATTTCAATTAGTGACACGAATTTTTTTCCCTTAATTTTGCAAATAATTAAAGAATAGCATAACAATTCAAAACTGTGGCACCTTCCTTTTGTTGAAACTACAACCTTGTCGTCAGCAAACTGTCAATTAAGAACTGTCAACGAACAATTAATGACTTTATTGTTAGGTAAGTGAAACAATAACAACAAAACCATAAAAAAAATTACGGATTTATATCAGAAGGTTTTATTTGAATGAAAAATAATAATTAAAATTGAATTTATTGTACAATTTGTCGTTAAAGTATGACGACTTAGAATACATCATAAATATATTACATTTTAGTTTTTTTTTTTTTTTTTTTTTTAAGAAAAAAAAACTTTATACGTCCATTTAATTTCACCACCGTGCTATTGATTTGATGCATCCAATAATTTGTTGCGATTTTAACAATATAAAAGCTTCCACAATACTCAAACTAATTTACTAGTGGAAAATAATTGGATATAGGAGATATAAAATAATTTGTTGTGTTGCTATTTTTCCAACTTTTCAAATCAGCTAGTTTGAATATTTTGACGATTGACAGAACTCTAAATACTCTATTTATTAACTCTTTACTTTTTTTTTCATAAAAATAACAAAGTAATTCATATTTCATGTGAACTCATTTAAAACTATTCCTACGAAAAACATTATTTCAACAATATAACACATTACAGCAAATAAGAATAATAGTGACAGTTATTTAGTTAAATCTAGGCCATGGTAATAATTAAATTCTAATAATTACTAATTGACATAATTATGTCCAAAAATAAAATTGCTCATCTGAAATAAAATAACGACTAACAGTTGTTTATTGGCTCTAATATAAAACTATGTTGTTATATTATAAACAATAAACAAGTTGATCGAAATTTCACATTCGTAGAAGTCAAAAACGAACTGGGTGTTCTCTAATACCTTTGAAATCAGTAAAAATTTAAATAAGTTTGTCTTTTAACAACAGATATTTCAGAGTATCATTAAAAAGCAATTCTATCATCTTTGACTATCACTTATTTACAAACAAATCAAGAAAAAGTAAAAATTATTATTTTTATTAAGAGTTTTGTAAATAGTGAATAAATATTATAAAAAATCAAATGTTTTATTATTTAATTGCTTGAAATTAAATCTTCAAGGTACTACTATACTTGGAAATTTGAAATTATTATTTATTTACATTTTTTTAGGGACAATTTACTTTAGTATTTCTTTTAGGTACTAAAAAAAAACTGGTTATTAATTAAATCAGATGAGTAAGATGAACAAATTATTGTTTAATTAAAATATATTGATCACAGTAACCTAATCAATAAGTTTTTATGAAGTTTTGAATGAACTGAGGAAGCACAAAATATACAGATAAATATTTTAAATTGTTCGCTTAAACCTACATAAATTCAATATAAATATACCTTTTTTGTTTAGAATTATGTAGAGAGAGTGTACTGATGTCAGATGATGATTTTAATCAATTTGCGAGCATTATTGTCCCCTGATAATGGTCCAACTTGAAACGTCATACCTACTCACTCAATCGAAACACGACTGACAGACAAACAAACTACTGCGGACCGGTGTGAAAAAATCATCGTGTAGTAGCATTATTAAAATGATAATGTTAAAAATGTTATTACAGTACAAATAGAAGTAATTTTCTCCTGCGTGAATAATTATATTTTAAAAATACAAATATTATTATTGCGACTCCGTTTATTATCAAGGATGTTTGATTAATTAACAAAATACAATAATGTAATACACTCTAAAGCATCAGGGAGTCTATTGGATTAATTGCACAATCAAAATAATTTTATGTTGAAACCACTAAATTACCTTTCGTGTTCTAAGTATTATAACAGGTTGGAAGAGAAAGAGAAAGAGCGCGTTAACCTGAGACGAGCACTCAAATAGTTGTTGATAGTTGATGCTGCAAGTATGTACAGAATTTAAGATAACTTCTACTGCATAATAAGACTCAATTATTAGTTCTGCATAGAATTTAAAGTTTAAAAGGCTTCAACAAACACAAAATGAATGAGTAGGCCACTCACTTGACATCCAAAGTATTAGATACTTACAAAAGTATACCGGACAGTAGACAATTGTCCAGTCGAATACGCTCGAACTAACGTAAAGTATGTGCACTGTAATTTATCGAACTAGTCGACTATGTCTTTAAGAAGAGCATAGAAAGCTATCAACACTTTATAATATTGTAGTCTTTCAACCTCGACGTTTTGAAGAAATAATATATTTAAAATTTAACGTTGTTCAATAATTTCTATTGGAAATATTTAAGACGGACCGAAAAAATCTCGGTATCTTACAAAATTGAACTTGTAAACATTTTTTCCTTGACCTCCTAAAATATTTTAAAATAACGCCGTTTATTTTAAAAGTAGTCAATAAAAATACTTGTATTTATTATTAAATAAGTGCTAAATTATAATTTTATATTAAAGAAATAAAAATTTATACGTAGAGCAATGAATCAAATATTTGAATTTCACTTGATACAATTAAAAAATCCTATTGACTTAACTTCCAATTGAATATAATCATAGATAAATCTATGTATTTAAGTAACTATGATACATAAATGTAATATTTATTTGATCAATAACTATAAAACTATTGTCTATATAAATGTAAAAAAACCGCATTACCTTAATACTTTGAATTTACCCAAACTCTCCAAGTTTAATATCAACACTATAACATGGTCTCTATTTCAAACAGACGATGAGAAAATGTGTACTAAAATCACTATGTTTACTTTGTAAAAAAAGTATTAACTTTTGTTTAAAATAATTTACATTAAATTTTATTTTTAAATATTAGACTAACATTATGTTCAAAAAAATTATTCGACAGTAAATTTTATTAAAAATTATTAATAGAATTACACGCTGAACACAACTCTTTTACCTTTGTACAAACAATGTAACACAATTTTAAATGTTTTTTTTGTTTTCATTTCTACTTGTAAAAAAATTATTACGATAAAATGTTTGTACACAAAACATTGATCCCGAACAAAATTTGAATCTAGTCAATATTGCTTGGGAGCATTAATACAGCAGATACATAAAAGTTCCAAATCCTACATTTTTTTTTTTTTCAAAAGTAATAAATATTTGTATTAACTTTCAATACTAACATATTTTCTTTTAATTTTATGTACGCAATACATGTTGTTATTAACTATTTTAGTCATAGGCATAATTATAAAAGTTGCAGCACTAATTTTTACAAAAATCAAGCCTAGTCATAAATATACATATTTTATGTATTGTATAATAACTACTTAAGTATTACAATTTACAGAAACGTACAAAAAAAATTAATTTTTTTTTTGATAATTAGGAAAAATTGTTGTAAAATAATATCGGCAGTTAAATTTTCAAAAAGTGTGCAACGATTAATGTAGATAACTTGTAATAGTCATGCACACTGTGAGTAGGGATACATTAGAGTAAAATCAAAAGTTGAATGACCTTTTCACTATTGTCTGCTCATAGTAAACACGAGGGGAGCAATTTACAACTGTTTTGTATAACACGTGGGGTCTAGGCTACTAGTACATGCACTAGTGCATTCATTCTTTCTGCGGGGTGAAAAATACATTGCTCTTGTGCAGCTGCTTAATATCAACACTTGGGGACGAGAAAAATACTATACTTAAATAGCACAAATTCTACAAACTAATAAAAAATAAATATATGACATACACCAATTGAAATTAATTTTTATAGGAAAGACTGTACACCTAATATTAAGGATAATTAAAAACACCGTGTAATTAATATTTATATTTTTTATATAATTATTTATTATTTCGCCTAATGAGTTATATCATACACATTAACCTAATTACATATACATTCATTTAATCATACAAGACGGGTAACTTCAAACAATTTGCGCCTTGTGCATTTTTTACTGCAAGTCTAATACAACAGCACATACAAAGACTAAACAATTGTGATTAACTATAAAAAAAAAATATATATATATATACACACACATACATACATATATATATATATATATATTGTTTACAATAAAAATTGAAACACAGTTATCGGTAAACTTATATTATTGCATAATGAACACACCGGCTTTACTCATATAACACATTTTTTTTTCATAATTAATACATTATTCTTAATAAAACTAAATGTTCATAAGTTTACAAAATCCATAACGTATAACAAAAAAAAAAAAAAAAAAAATGGATTTATAAGTTGGGTATCACAACATACATAATATTTTTTTAAATAATAACATAAGGCAAAACATAACATATTTCTTTTAGATTAACACTATTTTGAATTTCTCGTTAGTATGTGTGAATATATCTTAAATTATTCTCATAGGAACTAATTCAATTAGTTTATATTACTTTTAATTAGTATAATAATTATCTAGAATATATATTCACCTATATCCAACCTAAGTATAACTATTTTTTTTTTTTTTTTTTAATATGTATATAATAAATATATCACAGTAAATACTGCATGCATGCAAAATAAAACGTGTAAGAATAGTGCGATCATCAAGAGATAACATAATAAATTTTCATAAGTTACCATGGATGAAAGGGATAGAGCAGTTAGATACTATCTTTAATTAAAAACAATACGCATAAAACATAAATTAATTAAAATAAATTATACCTTAGTTGTGTATTTTTAAAAATTGATTTGCAATTATTTATGTTTTTACTAGACCATAAAACTACTAACTCAACAAAGTGTAATAATGAGATTACAAGTATTTACTAAAAAAAATTACTACAAGTCGTAATTTAAAAGAGGTAAAAATGTAATAGGCTATTCTCAATATTGAAACGTCAACCTTCAGTATAGAGAAAAACACATTTATTGAAAAAAAAAAAAAAAAAATAG